TGCCCTGATCCCCCTCTTTGCCCTGACCCCCCTCTCTCGGCCTTTGCAGTTCTTCACCTGCCTAGTGATCCTCTTTGCCTGTGAGGTGGCCGCCGGCATCTGGGGCTTTGTCAACAAAGACCAGGTGAGCTGGGCCCTGGGGATGGCCAGCCCCAGCTGGGTCCTCGGGGGGAGGGAGCAGCACCCACTGCTAGGTTGGGGGACAGTCAGGCTGCGGTGCTCTTGGGGCTCCTTCTGGGGCCACGGAGGGCTTTCGGGGAGGTGGCCTGGGTGGGCTGGGGGCTGGGTCTGTCCTGCGGAGCCCGCGAGGCCCGGCCCTCACTCGGGGCTTCCCCTCCCCAGATCGCCAAGGACGTGAAGCAGTTCTACGACCAGGCCCTGCAGCAGGCGGTGGTGGACGACGAGGCCAACAACGCCAAGACCGTGGTGAAGACCTTCCACGAGACGGTGCGGGCCGGGGTGGGGGCGCTGGGGACGGGCGGAGGCGACGGGCAGGGGTGAAGCCTGGCTGGGGTTGAGTCTGGCCTCAGCTCCGACCTTGGGAGCAGGAGGGACCTGGCAGCCCTGCTCCCCAAGGACTGTGGGCCCCCCTGAAAGCCGGGGGTGGGGGGAGATGGGAGGCTCCTCTGGGACCTGTGGGCCTTGGTGTGGGGATCAGATAGGCCAGGCCAGCCGGGTGCTGAGGTCTCTGAGCAGCCCAGCTGAGCAGGAGGGGAGGGGAGGAGGGGGCCTCTGCCCGGCGGGTCCTTGGCCCTCCCTTCGGGTCACTTCCGCGTGCGGGGCTGACCGCGGCCGCCCTCCGTCTCTGCAGCTCAACTGTTGCGGCTCCGACGCGCTGACCACCCTGACCACCTCCATCCTCAAGAACAACCTGTGTCCCTCCGGCAGCTCGCTGTTCACCAACCTGCAGGTGAGTGGCCCCGCCCGCCCTCCCGGGGTCCCGGTGGTGGCCACACTGCGTGGTGCCGAGGCCCACGGGGAAGGGGACTGTCCACCCGGTCTGGTTCCTGACGGGGCAGCTCTGAGTCCGACTGCCAGGCACCCTGACCTCCGGTCAACGCCCGGGCCTGCTGAGGGTTCCGAGTGGAAGAGGGCGCAGCACGTTGCTTCCGCATTTGTTTTAAAATGTTTTATTGATTTGAGAGAGAGAGACACACACACATCGGTCGCTGCCTCCTGCACGCCCCACACTGGGGATCGAGCCCGCGACTGGGGCCTGTGTCCTGACGGGGAATCGAACCGGGACCTCCTGGTTCCTAGGTGGATGCTCAACCCCTGAGCCACTTGGTCTGAAAACCTGTGTCGGATCCAACACGGCAGAGACCCGTTCTGAGGGGCAGGGTAGCGCCCCACCCTTGCTCTCTCTGCAGTGACCCTGCTGCGTTGCTGGGGAGGAGGGGGAGCGGAGGACTGGCGCCCCTGACACCCCGCCCCTGCCCCCGCAGGCGGACTGCCACCAGAAGATCGACGACCTCTTCTCCGGGAAGCTGTACCTCATTGGCATCGCGGCCATCGTGGTCGCCGTGATCATGGTGAGTGGGCGGGTGGGCGCCTTCCCTGCCCCCTCCCCGG